TTTTATATTTTGATTCTATATATTTGTAGAATTGAAATAAAAAAATTCATTGAATTTAGTTTGTGGTTATCGAGAAACCTTTGCTAGAAGTTTTGAAAAAACTGAAATATCTTGAAAGTCTAAAATCGACAATTTATTTTTTTTGAAACCTTAAATGATCATTTCTCAACAATCTATCCATATTCAATGAATTTTTTTATTTTGATTTTGTGAGTTTGAAGGATTAAAAAAAAAAATAGACAAATTTGGATAAATTGATGTTGAAAAATTTCGATTAGGCTATGCAAAGTTGATTTTTCAGTTTACATTACCCGCTTATCTATTTTTTCAATTTTTCAAAAAATTTTATTTTTTTAAGTCCCAATTGTGCCAATTATTCTATTTTTGCCATTTAATTTTTTTCATAAATTAGTCAGGTATCACCCAATAGATACCTTAGCTTCCTGGAATTATTCGATAAACTCGATTTAAAAAAAAACCAATTACCTACCATATTTTCTGATTCCATGTTAGGCAAAGCGAAAATTTAACCTTGCGTGGCCTAACATAATTCTATTAATTTATTTATACTGTAGATTAAACAAAAATCTGACCGATCGATGGGGATTTTGGAATCTATGTAATGCAAACCGAAAAATCAACTTTGTGTGCCTTAAAAGTTAAAAAAAATTGTCCGCAGCTTTTTTTATGGATACCTACCTAACCAAACTCGATCAAGTTTTTTATTAATACTATGGGATTATAGAATTAAAATAAAAAAAAATTTTAAAAAAAGCTGCGGTCAATTTTTTTTTTTTTTTTAACTTTTAATCGATATTTCTCGACGTCTAGAATTAAAATAAATAAAAAAATTCATTAAACTTGAATGGATGGTTGTTGGGCAATCATCGTTTAAAGCCTTGTGAAAAATTTTAGAAAAACAATGTTGCAATAAAATTTTTTATTTAAATTTTAATCGATGATTGCTCAACAACCATCCATCCAAATTTGATGAAAATTTTTTTTATTCTAATTCTACGAATTCGTAGAGTTAAAATAATTTTTTTTAATGAATCTGAATAGGTAAATGCTGAGAAATATCGATTAAAAGTTACCGATAAAAAAAATTTGGCCACAGCTTTTTTTTTTACAGATACCTAATTTGAACAAAGATTACCTGGGACTTACTAAGCAAATTCGATCAAACTTTTCATTTAATTCTATGATATAGAATTAAAATAAATAAAAATTTTGTCGAATTTAGTTAGGTAAGTGCCGAGTAATCTTCGTTCAAAGTTTAGGTATCTGTAAAAAAAATCTGCGGCCAAATTTTTTTTTAACTTTTAATCGATATTTCTCAGCATCCATCTATTCAAATTTGATATTTTTTATTTATTTTACAGTAATTCTACAAACTCGCAGAATCAAAATAAAATAAAAAAAATTCATTGAATTTGGATAAATGGTTGTTGAGAAAATAATCATCGTTTATTGCGGTTAAAAAAAAACGATTTCTGATTTAATGCCGATTTCTTTATTTTTTTGCAGAAATAGAAGTTGTAGATTCATAATTTTGTAACATACAGTATTTGATCTAGTGTCTTTTGTAGGAATATAATTTGCACATTGTTACGAAAAATTTTTCTTTTGTGTAACTTGCCCTGTATTAGCTCGCTCCCTTTTTAGTAAAGGGATTGAGCGTATGCTGGTCCCAGACTACAGTTCTTGGTTTCGGACCACGAATGGTGGTCTGAGACCATAGGTCTTGGTTCAGAACCATCGATAATGGTTTGGGACTCAATATTCTGGTCTAGGACCATTAGGGTTTGAAATAGTATAAATACAACGACTAGATTAATAAAGAATAATATTCATTCTGCTCCGACAAAAAAATACCTAATTATCAATGAACAATAATCTCAAGCTAACCTTAAAACCCGTTATACCTCAGCATAGTGCCATTCTACTCTGCATCTGGAATCTAGGCCATAATAATTCCGGATCAGCACCATGCGCTGTGCGGAGAAAATTACACATTCCTTTACGCGTCGATGTTTATGTTTGTAACCATGAGCTAAATTGATGTCGCTGCGGAAGAGTCTCTCCCAAAGTTACAACAAATTTCATCATGTTGTAAAGAATTTGATTGTGTATTATTAAATTTTGTTTCTTTTTTTAGCCTGATAAAGTTTGATGAGAAAGAAAACTTAAAAGTTGCACTAAATTCAATCAAAGTAAAGGCATAAGGAACTTTAATATAATTGTTTTGTTTGAATATTTTTTTTTCATGGTTACAATAAATTTTAGAAGTTTTACAAAATAGACACTTTGTGCATCCAAAGCATGTTCCGGGATACCGTATAGGTGCGTAATAACGCGCAGGGGCGCGTTATTTCGAGCCCCTGCGCGTTATTTCGGGACGCGCATGCGCGATAATTCGAATCATTATGCTAATTTTTAAAAAAAATTCCACCTACTTTCTTGAATGATAATCTGGTACATATGGAGAGGCGCGTTATTTTGAGACGCGCATGGGTGTTATTTTGAGTCAAATATGCCTTTTTTTAAATTTTCGCACTAACGCCCATGTGCGTTATTACGCGCCTATACGGTAATAATTTTTGGCCATTAGAAATGATTTTTTTAAAAAATGTATACTAAATAAATATATATATATATAGCATAAGTTTTTGCATAGTATAATATTAGTTGATACCATAAATTTGCAAACTTTTAGAAAGAAAAAATTTGCTGATTTAAGTTTTTTTTCCCAAGATATTTCAAGTTTTTCAAAACATCTGGCGAAGGTTTCTCAATAACCACTAAATCAAATCTAATAGCCTTTTTTTTTTATTTAATTTTACAAATAATAGAATCAAAATAAAAAAAAAATTTACAAAATTTGATCGAATAGTTATTAAGAAATCTTCGCTAGTAGTTTAAAGAAATTCAAAATTTTAAAAAGGATTTTGATTGGAAATGTTCTACAGCCCGGAATTTGCTTGACATAAAGGATATCTATTATTAAGCAATTTGAAATTTTTTTTAATATTAAATACAACTGTAGTATGCCCTTTCTATGAAAATTTTTTTATCGCCATAGCAATGTTTAATTATATTGGAACTCCGACTTCACGAGACGTCACAATTAAGTTCCGGTTTCAGAATTTTAATACTTTTGGGATTTTACATTCAGAATTTTAACATAAGCCTAGATAGCGATACATCGCCATAGCGGTAAATTTACAAAGTCCATTTTCTATTTTCTAATATACTATATATATATATGTTTGTGAACATAAAATCGTAGCTTGAGAGCACCTACAGTGTTTGGACCTGAAATTTCGAACACTGATCATGACGCCAATTAAACAAACTGGCCTAAACTAACCCCAATGTAGGCTGAACGTTGTCATGTGATATTGTGATGATCAGTTCTTCATTTTTCATATTTTGCTTTTCGCTCGTTTTTTTTTAGCTTCGTGGGCTGATCTGTGTAAACAGAAATTCATGAAGTCAAACCCGGGTAAATAAAATTTTACGTATATACTTTGATTATTATAAAACACGCCATTAATGTTCCAGATGCGACCCAAAATTGTGTACCAGGTTCAAGCTAAATGATCATTACTAGTATCAATTAAACAATGATAAACTAGTAGTAGTTGTACGCTTGTATTATATAATATATCTTGTGAATATCAAAAGAATAACATATTTATAGACTTGGCTGATTTATCGATTCTATTTCGACAAATTGCAAGATTTTCAGTATTTCCACAAAATAATATTCAAATTATTTATGAATTTTTTATAGGATATCTTAGATTGGTTGAATGTATTTTGGGAAATATTAAAAACTACCATATAACTAATCCGAGTAAAAAGTTTATCTTCGAGTGGCACGCAGTGTTAGATATCTAATGTTCTCAGTGTTCTCAAGAACATTTTAAAAAATTTGGAAACATTATATTTAAAAATAAAGTTCTCTTTTGAGAACCAACTAAGAACATAAAATTATAATTTATGTTCTCATATGTTATATAGAAAATATATAATTTCTCTCTTTTTTTTTTTTTTTTGCTTTTTTATCATTAAGAACATTAAAATGTTTATAAGAACATAACATTATCAATTTATGTTCTCAAAGCACTAAAAAAAAGTTTCAGAAATTTAACGCTGGTGGCACGTAATTGTATCTATAGTAACGATATAAAGCAAAAATACTGAAATAAGAATTATGAAGCCAAAATCCTATTAGTCACCGAAATAGGTGATGGAGACACATAAAAGAACTCAAAAGATGTTAAATAAAAAAATCAGTAGCAATAAAATAGTTATTAATTATTCATAAAAATATACAGTTAACTCTATATAACAAATTAATGGACCTAGACGTAAAAAAAGCTCGTTACATAAATTACTATGTTTTTCCAAGAGTCGTAGCTCTTTTTATGCTGAACTAATATAATATTTAAAACTTTAAAAAATTTAGTTCTTCATATCCAGAATTCGTTATCGAGAAGTTCATCATAGGAGTTGACTGTATTCGAATATCTATTTGCATTAGATTCAATTGTATAATCGCATGAACAAAAAAAAATGACATTGTACTGTCACGTTATCATCCGAAACACAACCTGGTACACATTTTCAGGTTGCAAACAGCAAATTAAAATTATAACATGAATAATAAATTAAAAACCTCCCATCAGGGTCGATAACTTTCTGTGATGAATTTTATTTATTTTTTTAAAAAAATAAATAAATATTATCACAGAAAATTATCAGCTTGCCTTCCATCTGCAAGAGAAATTTGCAAAAAATTTAAAATTGGCAAAATTTTATTAGACTATAATCTGACAATTCTAATAATAATATACAAAAATAATAAGTGGTGAAAATATCAATAAATAATTTCACTCTAAAGAAAGTTGAAAATATGGATTATAATTAATTATCAAATAAGTAAAAATTTGATATAATAACACATTTTGGTAGTAGCATTTAAAATATTTAGTTTAACCTAGTTTACTTAACATACTAGTAGCATCTTCATAACCATTGTCAGCTGCCTTTTTATACCAATCATTTGCTGATTGTAAATTTTTGACTACCCCTGTTCCTTTTCTATAACATTCAGCAATATTATATTGACCAAATGGAATGCTATGATCAGCAGCTTCATGATAATATCTAAATGCCATTTCCTTATCTGTCTTTGTACCTCTTCCGAACTCAAAACAATTTCCTAAATTATTACACGAAGGCATATAACCCAATTCGCGTGACCTATTAAAATATTTAAATGCTTCTTTTTTATTTTTTCTAACTCATATACTTTTCATATAACAAAGACCTAAAGCATTTGCAGATCTTGCATGTTTATCTTCTGCCGCTTTTTTATACCATAATATAGAATTTTTTAGATTTTTTGTAGTTCCATAACCGCGCCTGAAGCATTCACCAAGGTAAAATTTTGCTGTTACATTTTCATTTGCCGCTTGTTGGAACGTACTGAATGCAACCTTTTGATCTTTTTTAGTACCAATTCCTTCAAGATAAAAGTAACCAAGAAGACATAGGAATTCAGAGCTATCATTACTATTATCATATAAAGAATTAAGCTGTTTGCTAATGGTTTCTTCAATTATTAAAGATTCTTGCTGTTCGTTGATAGTTTCTTTAATTGATTTTGAAATTTGCAAAAAATCAGATCCATTATTTGTCAAAGTAACAAAAATATTCAATATCTCTTCTAATGAATTGTCAACCTTATTTTCTAAATAAAAGTCATCAATCTTTTTAGAAGTTTTAAGAACGTCTAATATTTCATCTGTAGATGGACGTTGGGACGGTTCAGAGGACCAACACCTTTGATAAATATTAGAGTAATCAGAAGGTGTGTTGGAAATTGGCATTTCTCTTTCATGATTTGTAATTTTTGCTATTATAGTAATCTCAGAGTAACGTTTAAATGGTGGAATTCCACTCGTGAGTTCCCAGAATAATACGCCTAAGCTATAAATATCAGATATTTTGTCACGTTTAAAATTTTTTTGGTTACTGCCTTTAAATTGAAGAATGCATTGCGGTTCAATATAAGCAATTATTCCCATAAGTCCTGAACTGGAGTAGAAGCATATATCTGTTTTGAAATTCCTAGGTCAGAAATCAAGGCTCTATTATCATGTATTAAAATATTCTTAGAATGCTAAAATTTAATAAAAAGAATTAGAATACGTTTTTATTTACAATAATATATTTAAAAAAATAACTTACTAGATCTCGATGAATAATTCCGTTACTATGTAAATACCTCAATCCTTTAGTGATATCAATTGCAAATTGTATAAGTTCAGACCACGAAATTTTATAAGTATTGTCAATTTGTTTTTTAAATAAATAATCTTGTAGATTTCCACCGTCAGCAAGTTGTAATATCAACATAAAATTATCGACCTCTAAAATGTAAAAAACGAGATTAAAAATGTTTTTCAAATACAGATACATGCGCTATTTTCGACTGTAATAGTTTTTTTTTTTATCATACCTTTTGCGATTCCATAGAATTTTATAACGTTTGGATGGTTATTGGCCCTGTAAAAAGTTTTAAGCTATATACATGCAAATGAAATTTTTATATGTAAATAACTTTTATGAGTTCAGAACGTAATAACAAATATATTAAGTGGTCATATATCATGTGTAAACGTGTGCATCTGCGTTATTACCACATGAAAAATATTTTTTGATCAAACTAAATCGAAAATTTACTTTCACTAAAGCAAAAGTATTATTTAAAGAACTACCGTTTGGCCGCTGCATACAGTACCCGGGACTTATTCAAGAAATTCGTTTTTTAAAATTGAATATCCGTGGGTATTGTGTGAGGAACCGGGTACTATATTTGGGAAACATCATTTGAAGTAATAAATTGAATATACGTAGTTATGCCCGGGTATTATTCAAGAATTAGATGAATGGTGATAATATCCGGATCTTAGTCATGGGCATTATTTTTTGGGATACTGTATGTAGTGACCAACGGAAATATTTATAATGAATTATACACTACCTCATGTTTAAAGTTTTTAAATTCTTTTTCTTCTAGTTTCAAATTATTTTTCATACTTTTTAACGCGTACACCACACCTTGGAAAGTGGCCGAATACACAGTTCCAAATGAACCAGAGCCAATTCGAACAAGGTCTTTAAATTGTGAATAATCAAAAATCTTTACATTTTTATTTTTCAAATATGCATCTAGTTGCTCTGAATAGTTTGGGGTTGACATTTGCGTGTATAAGGTTCAATAATTTTTATTGCTTAACCTAAGTTTCTTGAGTAAAAATTTTACTGCGATAGTATAAGACGGACAATGAGGTGAATATATAAATTTCGGTAATGCAATATTTTTACAGCTTTACAAATATTTGTATGTTTTTACGATGCATTGTTTATTTGTGCTGTCTATCTATATCGAGAAGGCATAGTTATATATATATAGCATTCTCAAGCACCGGTCAAAAAATATTGGGGAATAAATTTTATTTAGCGGAAAAAATTTTAAGCGGATCAATTATGCTATCAATACAATGGATATTAAAATAATATTCAAAATTTTTATTAAAAACCTTCTTATGCAATTTTTCTCTTTTGGCAAAATTTGCAATTAATCGAACATTCAAAGAGATCGCACAAGTAACTTTGTCAAGGGTCCTCATTCTCGAATATACTATTTTACTCCTAATACCAAAAGTTTCATGAATAATAAATAATATGGGAAGTCGAAAAAAATTGCTGATGTGTACCGTCTCTTTACTCTTTACACATATGACAACAAATTCAATTATTCCATCAAAATAATTTTTTTCATTTGGTACAACAACCCAATATCGACGAAAACCTAAAACTAGTAAATTCTGAATTGGCGTTTTCTGTACTGAGTTTGTTTTTTTTTATTAATTTTTGATGATGACATTTTGATAAATAGTATATAATAAGAACCACACAAGTATCAATTACAACCTTTATTTTGATTATATTAAATGAGCATCGTTACGATCACTAGTCAATCACATCGAAGATAATAATGTTAAGAAAACTTCGATTACGTTATTATTTTGAATATTCAAGTTGTATAAGATAATTATAGCTGAGCACAATTGCGTTAGTAATACGGTTTACGGTTTTTATGGCAATTAATACGGCAAGTTCCGTATTAATTTTGTAAATACAAAGCTTGCCATGAGATATAGATGTTCGCAAAGTAATCCTAAAATAGAAAAGTCTACAGATTACGCTGACCAACGAAATACCTTTCGTTTTACATGCTTCCGCAAAAACTCTATAATACTGTATATAAATATAGACTATTCGATTGTGGTAGATCATAAAGTTTATCAAACAATTCGGATAAGTTCATGATCATCACTTTATACTACACTTCTGATACATAAGAAATCCACAGTCCCTTACGTACAACTAGCATTGACACTGTGTTCGTTTATTCTTGGCATTTTCCGGGTTTGTAGATCATTATTTTTTAGTTTTGGATGCGATATTTATTGTTTATGAAAATTTTTAATAATACACAACTTTTATAAACCCATCCGTTTATGAAAAAAAAATCATTATTATTCAGCTAGGTGTTAAATACTAAGATAAAATATCCAATTTAGATCATTTATTTTTATAACTGATAAGGTTTCTATTTACGTACGTACGTACACATCTTTGAAACAGATAAACTTATCAAGTCACCATTTAATGAATGATTCATATTCCATTTAAAACCACATATTATAGTTTTATTGTTTGATAAAAGCTTAGTGTATTCAGTTCTTAGACCTTTGTTATTGTTGTTACCAATTTAGCGTTAGTAATTACTATCAATTTTTTAATATTGATGTGTCAATTTATTCTATATTTTCAATATGAATCTTCGAAGTTTTTTTCGCTCGTTCTTTACTTTACTTTCACTACCTATCTTTCTTGTTACTTGTCAATTAACTCCTAAACCCCGATATCTTCAAGCCAGTTCTTTGGTTAATAATTCTAAATGGTATTTCTTTGGTGGAGATATTGGAAATGAATATGATACTAATGGAATATTATATTTGGAATTATCAAGCTCATTGAATACTAGCTTGCCTTCATGGAATCAGGATTCAATAGGAAGTCCTTTAGCAAATGTTCTTAGCACTTCTTGCGTTTCCAATGACATGTCTTCTATTTTTTTAATTGGTGGAGTTATGATTGATGTATCATCACAAGATTTTGCTCTCAATCAATCACCAGTTTATAAATATAATTTAAACGACTCAAGTTGGACAACACCTAATATTACAGGAATGGATAGTTTTGGAACATGTGGTGGATTACAATCTATTAATGATAATACTGGAAGAGTTTTTTTGTATGGCGGAATGCAAAACTTGTCTGGTCCTATTTGTAATAAAATGAGCATTTTTTACATAAATAATATGTCGTGGTCAACATTCAATCTTACTTATTCAAGAATAGGCTACACTGCTACTTTACTTAAAAATGGAAATATCACTTATATTGGTGGCCGTTCAACATCTGATTATAGTGGTTATATTAACATGGATGAGGTATTATAGTAGTATTTTAGTTATTCTTTTCCCTAAATATTTTTACAAAATTTTAAATTAATCTAATTAACCAAGCACAGATTCAAATATTTGACACCAACACTTTTATCTGGTATAATATTGTAAGCAATAATGTAGGAATAAAAATTATAAAATTCTTATCTAATACTTAAATCATATAGACAGCTATCGATGGTGATTCTATTGGATTGCGAAGCTTTCATTCAGCTGTTTTAAGTAAATATATTTCAAAATTTAATTAAATGAATTTGAATAATTTAATAATTTATCAATTTTGTATTCTGTCTCTACTAGCTCGAGATTCAAAAATTATCATATATGGAGGTTCGACTACAAACCTGGGTATTACAGCAACGCCTGATCTAGCAGTATTGGATACTAATAATTATCAATTTAAATGGATAATTCTTAAAAACTCTACTTCTGACGCCGCACCATCACCATCACTTACATGTCATTCCGCAATATTGTATGATGATTTTATGATCATCGCATTAGGTAATTATATAATTTATATAATTTATATGAATATTCTTTATAAAATTTTTACAATAGGTCTTTTATACTATATTTTTATTTTATAGGACGATTTACCTTTGCAAATGAAGAAGCTTTAAATAACAATGTTTATATTTTTGATACACTAAATTATAAATGGGTAAAAACGTTAAACAGAAACAATCGAGCATTTCCTACATTGCTTTGCATCTTAATTGTAATTATTATTGTATCTGTACTTATACTTGTGATAATTGCAATAATAATAATTTTGAGGAGTAGATATATTCAGCGTCGTTTCATAATTTAGGTCGATTTTGAATTGACCATAAATTTTCACCGATTTAGAAATAACTTAGGTCAATTCTTAACGCAACACTACGAAATTTAACGATCAAATCTATTGAGATGACCCCTTTCATTTGCCGGTGGGGTGTGACCAATAATCTAGATGACAAATAAGCACCGGCTAATTTATTTATGAATTAGCCAGCACTTATTTGTCACCCAGATGGTTGGTCACCCCAGCGGCAAATAGGAGAGGTCGTCACTTGATCCCGAAATTTAATAGAAAGTTAGAATTCAGAATTATTAAATTTTATTACTGTATACTACATGTATTATATTCATATTAATTGTTAAAAAAAAAAAAAAAAACTAAGGTTTTCGAACGTTTAATTTTAATATCATTTCATTTTCTTATTAATTTTTAAAAATAAAATGATACAACTTTCTGGCGCGTGAAACCTTTGATCGAATACTAAAATAAATAAAAAAACAAATAAAACATTACGGCAACTTTTTATACTATCCTAAAAATTATGACGCATATATGACGATTGTGTGAATGTGA